CCAATTTTTGGGGGGCAGCGAGGCGTCTCCGGGCGCGGGGAAACCCTTCCCCATCCCTGCTGCCGATGCCCACCGCGCCGGCATCCCGCACCGCTCAGCCCTCCTGCCCCGCCGTGGGGTCTGCGGTGGGGTTTATGGTCTGTTCGGCCGTTTTTAGGTGTTTTAGTGGGACAGAAGAGGGGAAGAGCAAAGCCGGGGGGGGGGAGCGGTGGCTGCGAGGGGCTGCGGGCAGCACCCGGGGATTCTGGCTCGGGGACCGGCGCTTTCCTGCGTCTCGGTGTCACCGCCGTTTTTCGGGAGGTTTCGGCTATTGTTTTTTTAATGAGAAGTTCCCTCCCTCGGACAGCTAAATTACAGAATCTCGTTAGCGGCTCTGTGCTCCAGCAAGCTGTATTTGCCCAATTGATGCGACGGCAGTACAAATCTGCTGCCGTCCCCCAATTTATCTAAATTGATATCTTAATTGGTAATACTCTCGGAGTGGGGGAGTCAAACACACGGCCCCTGATTCAAAGAGAAGAAAATGGGGAAAATAACCCCATCCTGCTGCTGGTGGCTTGGGGTTGGTTTTTTTTTTTTTTGGAAGTCTGAGAGCGGAGCAGCGTCTGCCGGGGGGGCTCAGGGGAGGGAGGAGGTGGGAAAGGAGACCGGGAACGGAGATGTCCCGGCTCCTGTCCTGGCTGTGCCGCTGCTCGGGGACTCGCCGGTCCCCGTTCCTCCTGCCTGCGCGGCGGAGATAAGGTTGACATTGGTGGTGGTGGGGGGGGATTTCTTCAAGGATGGTCTCGATGGCCCTGGGGCACCTTCCAGCCGTGTTTTCGGAGGACACGAAGCCAAGGCCGTTTGGTTTTTCTTGTTTATCCCACTGGCTCACGCCTGTCCACCCACCCCGCGCCGGTGGGGTGCTGGGGAGGGCTCTCAGGCACCTTTGGGTGCCCCCAACCCCCGTGGGTGCAGGGCAGAAGGGTGGTGAGTGTCCGGAGGAGCGGGACCCCCGGTGCTGCACCCGCTCCGTCTGCCGGAGCGACGGCAAGGCTCGCGTCTGACCGGGGGCAGGGCGGGGCGGGC